AGCTTGAATTTTACTTTGTTGGCGGCAGAATTAGGTTGAGTGATACACACGAGAGTTGTAGCCCTATCTCTTAGCTTTAATTATCCATTTTAATCGCCTCAATCCGAGTTGTAGGCAGAAAATTAGACCCAAAATACGGGAACTATATCAAAACAGGAAATTTCCCGATTTTTGTGCATACATATCAAATCCGATTTCAAAGGATTCTCTCTTTCATGGCTATATCATGGAGCATCATTGTTGCATGGTCCTTCCTCTATGATTATCTTGATCAATTAAATCAAACTCCTCCTTAAAATTGCACAATTAAGCTCCAAATCATCTTGCAAAGCAATTTCATCATAATTAGTGCAATACCATGCTAATTCCAAAAACATTATTACCCAAAATCATCAAGTTAGAGGTATGAAAATATGTACAAATATAGGCTTATCAGTCATCCTCCTCCTCGGAGTCTTGGTCTTACCCCACTAACTGGATCACCGTCTCCGTAGAAATCCCGATGGTTGTAAGTGGTTTAAGATCGAGCTAAGGGAATGCACATCTAGCCAGCCAGCGACAAACTTTGAAGCCCTTGCAGAATTTCGAGGTTGTTGTCTCGTTCATGAAGTTGTCAAACTCTGAAGAAGTCTTGTAAGTCTGAACGGAAAGAGCACCGACCTCCTTTATCTCTTGGGAGAAGATGGACTCGCAATCAGCAAGGAGAGCCTTGTGTTCTTTGACCTCCTTTACCAGTTCGCGGATGCACTCATCCTTCCACTTTGCCTAAGTCTCCCACTTTCTTGCCAGCTCCACAGCCTTCAGCATTTTGGCTTGGCACTCCGTCACCCTGAACTCAGCGGATTGCGCTTTAGCCTCAACAACTAGAACCTTGGCCTCCAAAATCTTCGCTTTCGAGTAAGAAATCTGCAACAACTCCATTTGGCGATCAGACTGCTCCACCAATGAGTGAATCATCGAGTTCGTCTACAAGAAAATTGTGTCGACAATTAAGATAGGAGAAACACAAAAAAATAGAGAAGTGAATTCAGATACATACCACCATCAGATGACCCTACGCTGTTGCAGCGAGCTTGGAGCACGGCATCCCAACGTACTTGGAGACCTCGGCAAAAAGACAACCTCCTTGCTCTTGAGAGTGGTGATTCGAGTGTCAAAGATGCTCTAGCCCTCCTCGAGGATTGCGTTGGAAGCAACGACCTCAGGTTGGACGGGCCGGGGCTCGGGCTCACGAGCTGGGGACCTGGTTCCCTTGTCATCCTCAACCAGGTCGATTATTGGGGCATCTTCCCTCCTTCTCAAAGCAGTAGGGACAGTATTAGCAACGACGGGCTCGACGGCTGGAGGATCAGCATGAGATACCTTCCTCTTCTTCTTCTTCTTCTTCTTCTTCTTCTTCTTCTTCTTCTTCTTCTTCTTCTTCTTCTTCTTCTTCATGTCAGAGAAAATTTTGGAGATCGGGATGTCCACCATGGTACCTACAAGGAAGATAAGCACCGATTTAGTAGAAAAGCTAGAAGGGAATAGGCTAAGTGTGTGGAACCGAAGTGGAGACCTACCCGGACTCGGCCCTGCATTAGCCAACTTCTCCTCGGCCAGGAAAATGTCTAACTCCAACTTGAGCTTCGCCTAGGTGCGGATTTGTTTCTTCATGTCTTTATCTAGCTTGATGTCGGGGTCATTGATGATCGTTCTCCAGTGCATCGGAAACGACCACCCCCCAGCCATGGTAACAATAAAGTAACGCCTCTTCCAGGTCGGGACCTTGTTGGGATAACCGTACAAGATTTCATATCCAGGGTGAGGGGTCAAGTAGTAACTACAATACTCAAAAGAAGGGTTACTGGCAGAATTCTTCTTGATGGAACAGATCGAGCTAAAAGTGTCCATGGTCAAAGGTACACCGAAGTGGTGAACCAGGGAAATGATACCTACTATGGAGCGAACTGAGTTCGAATGGAGCCGGCCTATGGTGATGTTAAAAAATTTGAGGATCTCTACGATGAATGAGTGAAGTGGGAAGCGCAACCCAACTAATAGCCGCTCTTCGAATACTACGACCTCGTCAGGATCATGATCCCAAGGATGCCCTTCTAAGGGGATACTCCAACCATGGTCCTTGGGAAACTTGTAGTACTCAGCTAGAGTTTAGAATCTCTCCACAGTCATCACAAAAGGACCGAAGCGATCTGGCCCCGGTTTCTAAGAACTACAGGAGGTCAAGGCTTCCTTTCCGGAGTCCTCTCACTCCTTTGATTGGGAGTCCGCCTCAAATGGGCTAGGTTCAGAACCATGCGCCGAAGTGACCACCTCGGTAGGACCGAACTCTACCATCTGGCCCGAGGAGTCTACCTTGGCCCTAGTTGACTCACTACTAGTGTCTAGTAAGCTACTAGTGCTAATACTCGACATCTTAATCGAAGGAAAACAAACTAGGAATGAAGGAGCCTTACCTAAACCAGAGAGGGGATGAGGCGATTTCGAGGACAAAGACAGATGACACCGACTTAGAAGCAGACTCGTGAGCTTAGACCACGAACACACGATTTAAGGTGAAGAAAATGGAGACCCCAAGGCCCTATTTATAGCCATCATAGCCGATCTTGGGCAATCAAGATCGACGTGATCCAACGGCTCCCAGGGAGACCGACTACATGCCTCTCGAGGTTGAAATCAGTTGAACACACATTTTGACGTCCATAGGGTTAAATACCCACGTGACGTCCACGCATCCTTGATACGCGATCTGATTTCCCGGTCGATCCGGGCGGATCATTGTGGTCAAACCGCCAGGTTGGCCACCAATCTTAGAGATAGCTAAGGCCAAATCGACATCATCTCGTCATGAACTCCCTGCACTGGGTCGGGACCCCCGGCATGAGGAGTAGGGGGCAATTGATGAGGGGTGGTTTGGCCTGACCAGATAAGCAGGAGGACACGTGGGTGCAACCTTCCAACTAGATGATGATTCAGCACCTCTGGCCACCTCGGGGAATTGAGTCACCTCGGGTGTCCCAGTGACCTCGGATAGCACCAAGGTCTAGGTACGTCGAATAACCAAGCCTACTGAAAAACAACACGTAATAGATTGTAGAAGCTTGCTAGTTGCCTCCAAACCCTCCAGGATCATGCCGTGCAACCGGTGCTGTGCAACCGTAGGCCTTATCCTCGTCTCGCCCGAATCGGACGGACACGATAAGCCTTATCAGCTAGCACATTGGTCACCTCCCAAAGCGGAACAGACTCCTACCTCTCAGTCCAAAGATCTCGGAGAGGTTTCTTGAGGCTCACGACAGCTTAGCTATATAAGGGCACCAGCCCCTATACCCATGTACGTGCGATTTAGTGCATTTCTATCTCTCAAGATTACTGATTTTCAGCTCGCAATCCATCACTAAAAACTAACTTAAGCATCGGAGCGACCTCGTTGGGTGAACCATCCCAGGTTCTCTGATCCTTTCTCTTACAATTCGACCAATTAGCCGAACATCGACATCCAAACTGCCTTCCAGTTAGAAGCATCCAGATCGTGCACAATCACAAATCATTTGCACCACCACAGTTTTGCATCAGTGCAAATGCAACCAAACACGGGCTTAGTGAATAAGGTTTCAATCTACATAGATAGTTGGCTCCCTGTTTCCGCAACTTTCAATTAAGTTGTGTTCAGCGCATGCATGGTGGGCACAGCATTGTTGCCAACAATCTCCAAGCTAGGTCGAAGGTGGGATGCTTTTGTCTCGGAAACACTTATAGAGCTTCGAGTTTCAACTTTCAACTTTCATTGAAACGGGAGTCTCATGTAATCTTATCAAATATCAATGGTACTGCACAAGCCGAAAGTACCCACCTTACGAGTTCTGTGGATGGTTGTAGTTAAACTAATCTTCTAAGCAGGAAAGAGGAGAACATTACTTTTCCCTTTAGTGAGAACTACTGTTCTCAACTTTTGCCGTTCAAGTTTGTAGTTCCAAAGAAAAGATGCTTCAAACTAGCTATGGCGTAAAGGGAAAAAGACCTCTCCACACTCCACTCCAATCCAGACTCCTCACTAATTTATATGTAATTTCCTTTTTGGTGCAAGGCTATTAGGTTCATTTTCTCAGGTAATTATTAATTAAGCTGAGCTTATATATATATATATATATATATATATACCAAAACCAAAACTTAAAACCTTAAATATTGATTCCAATGAGCCTCTCTTTCTTTGACGCAAAAGAGAGATTCTTATGCTTACAAGGATGGCAAAGTGTGTGGGAGTTATGATTGTGTTCTTTCATTTGTAGTCATAATTAATTATATATTCTCCTAGATTACGATGATGGATGTATATAATCCACACTTTATTGCCAAAGCAAGGTTAAACAACTTCTGCGTGCAGATATTGTCTACACACTATATCCCCCATGAAGAAAATTCAATAAATAAAGGTGGGTTATAACCATTTTCTTCTCGCAATTTTGAATTAACCGAAAAATTGGAAGAGTCCAGATTACAAGTTAAAAAATAAAGGTTTTATTATGCCATGACTTCACCTGTTCTCCATCTAGATCTTGTTAAAGAAGTTTAGACCTACTGGTTATATATAGAAATATAACTAGTTTGCAAAACCATTGGTGGCTAGCTGAAGTCTGTAACACGGTAAGTTAAGTCTTTGTTTTGAAAAGGGGGTATCTTATTTTTCAAGTTGATCACATGTATAAAGGAAGGGAACCTAGCCATTAACCCAACAAGAAATGGTAAAAGGAGACAGATCAGATCAATGGGATGGGCTCATCGTGATCCCACTATTGTAGAAACATGCAGCTCAATAAAAATCATATATGATGTAGTAAATTTAAAAGATTATTAAGTGAAAGAAAACCCCCCAATCAAAGAAAGGGATATATGCTCTTCTCTTTGCAATTTGCAGTAGAAACGAAAAGAGGGAAGCGGCGGATCAAAAGTGAAATGGGTCGAGGAGCACCGGTAGTATTCTCTTCTCCTCTCTTCATAAGCCGCTCCACTTAACGAGTAGGCCTATAGAAGTTCCTGGTGGCGAAACAGGACGCCACTCTCCATCGCTCCCCCCTCCCTCCTCCATCTGATCCAATATAAAAAGCACCAACACATACATACTCCAAATCCACCATCACCTAATTCAAACAGCTAAATGATGCTGATTTCCTCAAGTCTCCTCTGCTTTCTCCTCTTCGTTTTCATATTCCTGTACTCTACAAGTATATATTTATTCAATTCTTTTTAGTCTCTGAGAAACACACACACATATATATGTTAATTAATGACAAACTGGCATTCTTCTTGTCTAAATTTGTTGGTGTTTGGTTACAGATGGAACTCAACTCATACTGGTAAACAACTGCATTGAGAGCGTATGGCCGGGGATCCTTGGGTCTGTAGGCCACGCAACTCCCAAGGACGGTGGCTTCCATCTAAACAGTGGCGAGGAAGTAGTACTGGACGTGGGCGATAAATGGTCAGGGAGGATATGGGGTAGGCAGGGTTGTTACTTTAATGGAAACGGCAAGGGCTCGTGCGAGACAGGAGATTGTGCAGGCTTACTAAACTGCAGGGGCACGAGTGGTGTACCTCCGGCGACGGTGGTGGAGATGACGCTTGGGACATCCAGTTCGCCCCTACATTACTATGACGTGAGCTTGGTGGATGGGTTCAACCTTCCAGTTTCAATGGTGCCAGTAGGGGGTGGCATCGGGTGCGGCATTGCGGCATGCGAGATGGATTTGAACGTGTGCTGCCCATCGGCTTTGGAGGTGAAGCGAGGAGGCAAGATAGTGGGATGCAAGAGCGCTTGCTTGGCAATGAGATCGGCCAAGTATTGTTGCACTGGGGACTTCGCCAACCCCAAGACTTGCAAGCCCACCATCTTCGCTCACCTCTTCAAGGCCATCTGTCCACGGGCCTACAGCTATGCTTTCGATGATTCAACCAGCCTTCACAAATGCAGGGCGCCGCGTTATGTTATCACCTTCTGCCCTCCCAAATGATTTATGAAGCCCTATTATTAAACAAGCTAAATACATAATTACAACATATATATATATATAGGGTGGTTCCACTTCCACGGCTAGTGTCTCTGCATCCGATCCAGAAACAAATTAGCTACTTCCTTCCTCCTTTCTTTTCACTACTCTTATATTCAATCAGTACGTAGTTTTTGTTTCTTTTTCTTCCAGCATTAAGATACATGTCAGATTTCTTTTGCTTTGGTATATATGGATGTGTGATGTGTGGGGTTCCCAAACCTCACCACCGTTCTTCCTCTTCTTCATTAAATAAGATGAGGATATTGTCTTCCTCCTTTCTCCCTTGTTTAGCAGTCTTTATCATGGACATTAGCTTATTAGATTAAAGATCAATTTACATATTGGTTTAAGCTGCACAGCAAAGATTCCCATTATAACAGAGTTTCAGTGGGAACCTCAGGAGAATTTGTTTTTGCCTTGATGCACAATCACACTGGCGCCATCCTCATTCATCTGTCATCTGTGCTTATTGTTTGCACTCCTATGCATATTGCCACTTCTGTCTTGTTGTCGGTACCTCAGAATTCCGTTATGTACAGAAATGTCTATCACAAGTTCACAACTCAGATGGAACCCTGCCATTTAGCATTTTGAGTCTGGAATCTGGGCACGTTATCCAGGAAAGGTTCTATCTCTGCACCACCAGTTGTATTCGAGCAGTGTTCCTGTGGACAAATCTCGACTCCCTAGGCCTCTACCACTACAGCAACTAGCTTTTAAGATTCTAAAGAGGCTGAGGATAAGATGCTTGTCCTGACATACCAATATTATCCCTTTGGTGGGCCCAAACGATGGAATCTTTTTCATAGCATATAAGAAGCGAGCAAGTAAAAGTGTAAAACCTTAACAAAATCTAGCTGCTTCCCCAAACATCATTACGCTAGGACAAGAGAAAGGCTCTACATGGTCATGAGTCATGACCTAATTCCAAGTTGCTACCAAATACCAAAACTGCTACAAATGGACAATTACAGGAGCATTCAGTGGATCCACATGGATTTAAGTTAAACGACAGGAAAATCAAGGGCTGGTTGAGGAAGATTCATACCTGTTCCTAGTGTTCAGGAGATGGTGAGCAGTTAGCCGCACTGTGTTCCTGACAGGTACATAGAAGAGCACGTGCGCAGGTCACTGCTGCTGATCCTTATCCCATTTCATCAGAAATCCCAATAATAGATTTCTACTGCTTGTGAGTGAAAATGAAGATGAAAGAAGAGAGCTGGATCTTGGTTCCAAAGAATGGAATTTCTTGCAGATGAAGTGTCACATGAAGCAAAAACTGCTCTAGCAGAGGTTTTCAAACTTCCTTTGGAAGAGAAAATGATTTTTTTTTTATGAATAAGAGAAAATGAAATATTCAACAACAGTAGATGATCTTTCACTCTCAAACAAGAAGAAATTGGACTGAATTGGACCGGAATGACTCTAACTGACACTCCCACAAGTTCAGGAAGCTGGAATACTGGCCAATCACAGTACCGGGTTTCAATTTTTCATGTATGTTTTCTTACTTCCCTTGATACATAAATCAGGGGAAATAATTATTAGTAGGAATATATCCAGAAAGTTTGAGCAATTTACTTTAGAACTTTTGCTCAAATAAATAACCATTCTGAGACCTTTCCAAGGCAACAAAATCAAGTGATCTTGAACATCCATGAGCTACTAAACCAGCCAAACTACTTTTCACCTTTTTTTTATTGATAACTACTATTCACCTTGTTCCCAGCTTGATTTAGTTCTTGGTGTCAGCCCACATTCAAATGCTAGCGCTATAACCATACTGCAATATGATGAGATAACAAGTCTCCAGATTCAGTATTACGGAGGCTAGGTTCCTTCAGAACCAGTCCTAATACACTAAAATATATATTAGCCATGCAATATAAAAGTTACTAAATAAAACCCAAATTCATTTTTTTTCTTCTATCCTGTTGATATGTATCATGGATATGGTAACTCTTGATCCAATGAATTACAAACTGATTTAGAGAATTGCCAGTGTCTTTAACGTATATAGTTTTTCTACTTTTGACAACTAATTAGTTTTGATGGCGTTCATTTTGATAAAGACGTAAGAAAATAGAAAAAACATTTTCACCAAGTTCCCACGCAGAGTTGATATAACATACATCTCAATGCTTTATTGGAACAGAGAACATATCTGACTAACAAGTTCACCAATCTAAACAATATCAGCAAGGAATCCGGATACTATAACATAAAGCATTATCTTGTACATAAAACCGGATCTTCAACTGAACGATGTTTGTAATATAGTATCATTTATATAATAATTCATTATCTTACATGTCATACTTGCTGGACTCCTTTTCCTCCTCATTCATCCCAAATTTCATGCATTGTCACTCATAGTATTTCTTATACCAGAGAGCATCTACAAGTGCTAAAAACTAACATATGATACCATTGCTTACTAAGTTCAACATTTTCGGGGACAACCAATTCTTCATTCTGAACCATGTCAATCTACTGTTAAACACATAAGCCTTCTGTAACTGCAACTTAATCATTTTCTTGGTCATGTAGGCATGGAGTAATGGGATATATAAAATGTGGAACTGTCATAATTGAGAAGAAGACAAGAACATCTGTTGCAACAATCATGTATCTCAATTACCTTAGATATATTTTGGAGAGAAAACTAGATGGAAAAGAACACACTTGGTTATAGTAATCAGTAAATGAATAGCAGTTGCAGACTTGCAGGGATATCATGTTTTTCAGTGGCATGTAAGTTTACATTTCAACAAAAGCTTATTTGTTACTTTCTCCTTGTCACAAAATCAAATCCACAATATGGAATTCATCTAATGACTTTCACTATAAGAACAAGGACAGAAGGCTATATAAAATCTAAAAGTAAACATCCTGCATTTTCATCTAAATTTGACACATGATAATCTTTATGCTGTACAGTATCAGCTTGTTTTGTCAATTGAATCATCTTGTACATTCAAAAAGTCACAAAGATCCTGACTGCCTAAAACTTTCCATTTTGGAAGGTTCACTTTGATAAAACTGGATGGCCACCACAATTTCAATAACATAGATTTAACTAGCTTGATTGGTGACACTGCAAGAAGGAAAGATGACAATGAGAGGAAAAAGGTGGACCAAAGTCCTGATATGTTTGAAGTTTTGTCAACCAACTCATATCAACTTCAAGTGAACTTCAGTTGCTATTATATTGATCAAAATAGCAACAATAACAACCAGTCAACAACTTGAGTTGCTGCAACAAGCACTACTATTTAATGATTTAAGAGAGACCCAAGTTCCTCCATTTCATAAATGCAAGACTAAGAAAGCTCAAAGCTGCAGTGATGCAACTCAGGTCGAAAATCCAACCCAATAACCCCATTCAGCCTAAGAATCAACACAAATTTAACCTTGGTCTGAATTAACATAAATTGAACCCTGTCAGAGAGTTTGAGTGAAGGAGGCAACACTAATACATCCATGCCTCCAAAAATTTTGTAATCTAGACAGAAGAATGGGTGCCGAGATGTTAAAGAAGAATCTGTTGCTAAAATCATGGAACATTTCTCTGCAGCAAAGGAAGATGTAAAATGAAGAGATTTTAGGAGCAAATTTGCATGTTGCTGTCTTCTATCCAATGAAAAACAGAGCGTTTAGTAGAAAAGAAATGTTTGTAAGGTTGCTGTTCATCAGTGTACCCACAGTTACATACCTAAGAGCTTGTCTTACTTGGGTTAACCCCTCTCCATTCAGTCCTCGACATACACTTTACAACTCGAAGAAGAAAAACTATATGAATTCAAAATCCAAGTCCTGTCATGAAAAATACAAAACTATAGTTTTGACTTCTTTCATCCACTATCAATTCTGTATTATTATCTGATAATTGAGAGCTACTACAAAGAATACTAAAAAATTAGAAATAAACAGTGAAGTAGTAAAAGTTGAAGAAAAATGAGAGAGTCGCCTCTCTGGTGTAAATGAAAAATCTGAGATTTTTTATTTATCATTAGGAGTGACACGAGGATAGGACACAATACAACCGAACTTATTACCAGACCAGTCTTCACTGCTTCTCCCTGAACATGTTATAGGGATGCGACTCGAAACCGTGAAATGCGGTAGCAGCCGGATTTCCGACAGGTATCCCCATATGGCCGTGGGCATGGGTCACACCAAGGACCGGAATGGGCATCATGGGTGGTGGATAAGGCATCGGAAGTGGCATGTGCCCGTGGCCGTGGGGAGAGGGCTCGTGCAAGCTCTGAGGCACAGGGGTCGATGCAAAAAGATGGTCGGAAGAGGATGGGCCCTCGTCATTTGACAGGCCCTGCATCCTCTTGAGGTAGAGACGATACTTCTGGAGGTGGCTGGCGACGTTCTCCCGCGTCAGACCCTCCACGTTCATCAATTGCATGATGGTCTTGGGCACGGCGTTCTTGATACCCAGATGCGAAACGACATCGACAAATCTCTTGTGGAGCTGAGGAGTCCACACCAAGCGCGGCCTCTTCAAGGTGCGGGCAGAGTGATCATCCATAGAATTCTCGGTTCGCAAGGCCGAATCTGCCTCTTCGGCGCTCTCAGGTCTCCGTACCTTGCGCGAATCGGAGCCATCCTTGGCGGAAAATCCAGCATCGTTGTCATCCCCTTCAATGACCATGGCATCGCGGGTTCTATCCTCGGTGAAGGAAGGTAACGACTTGAGGTGATTGGAAGAGATAGACTGCGAAGACTGGCGAGAGAGGCTGGATAGGGTGTTGTGAGAGGCACGATTGACATCGATGATGCTTCGACAAGGCTCGGGGGTTATACTGAAAGCGGAAGCGAGCTCCACAGGGATCAAAGACTGAGACAAGGGGGTGAGATCATCGGCGGTGGGCAGGCCGACTTCCCACTCCTGCACTCTTGCCTCGTCTCCACAGCTAAGACCGTCATCAAACGGGGTTGTCTGTACCTCTTCACCCATTTCTCCGTTGCTCTTAATTCTAGACAGAAATAGAAGCCACTAAGGCATGTTCAGAAGTCAACCGAAGTATGAATTCGTGAAAAGAGAAGAAAATATTAGGGTTTTCAGAATCCAGGAAGCCATGAGAGGAAATAAAGGAAAAAGTCTTATCGAGTTGAACAAACTTGAGTTTCGTTTTTCTTGGAATGGATAGCAATCTATGGGGATTTGGGATTGGAGAAGGAGGGAGAAAAGAGAAGGGGAAGAAGATTGGAGTTTGGTGGTTGTTGCGGGCCTTGCGGGTATCGGTAATGGAAGATATTTTGACTAAATGGATTAAATGAAATAAAGAAAGGAATGCTCTTTTTTACTTTATGGAGGGAAAACAGAGAAAAAGTGCAAATATCTGATTCCTGAGCGCTCTTGTCCAAGCGCCCACGTGGACGTCTTAGCCCGATATTTTTGATTCGCTTTTTTTAAGGGTAAATTACATGGACCCCCGTACTGA